TTGAAAGACTTGAAAAGCTGATTTCCATTAGCTGTGGCTCTGTGGTCTACAAAGTAATCTGTAATATACTGAGACTCACTGGGTTATATCAGGGAATGCCTTGGCAGCTTACAGCCTACAGAATGTTGTACAGCATAATGTAAGCACGTGGCCTTAACAAAGTAAGTTAAACACAGAAATTTTTATTTTTCTTAATATGTGTGTATCTTGAAGACTCAGGCTTGGAACTCTGCAAGTGCTTCTTTTCCTTTCTTTTTAATCTGAGAGATTTTAATGGATTTTTCACACTTTTCTGGTCTGTGCTGGGTATAGTGCAACTGACACTCACCTATTCTGAGTTAACTGAAGAATCAGAGAAAATGTATATTTCTGTAGTGGGGAGAGATTTTTAGTAACTCTTACGTTGTAAAACAAAGTATTCTAACTAAAAGATTACCTGGTCTTATGTGAGTCTTTTTTTAGTCACTCTAATCCATTAAATATTTGTTATTCAATAATATTTTGAGGTAACATCCATAAATGTAAAATGGCATCAGTTATATGGAGTGCTTCAATAAAATATTTGAATACCCACCAAATTCTGAATGCTTTTGTATTATGTATGTGTTTTCTCTCTGTAGTTTGCCCATCTACCTGTATCTTTATTATAGCATACACAGATAATCCCAGCAGGTTTTTCACAGGTGGGCGGTAATTTTTGAGTTGCTGAATGACATTATTTATTTGTCTATGTAGGAGTTTTCATAATTTTCAGCAGTCCGTAGACACAGTTTTTGCAAGTCCTAGGACCCTATTCCATTTTAATTATAGCTTTGTGAAGTTTGAGAATCAGGGATCTGGAGGCAAACTGGGAAAGGATGTTGTTAGGGAATAATGTGAATTAAAGTTTACACTGTTTTGTATGCAGATATGAGCTGGGGTATTCCTACAGTAAGTAGAAAGAAGCTGCAAGAGCTTGTGCTTTGCTTAGCAGAGCTAGAGCCAGTGTATCGGTAAGGATTATTTGTTTGTGCATCTGTGTATCATATGGCTTTGTCCCTCTCAGAGCAGAGACAGGAATAAGATGGCTGCTCACTGTATGTAGCATAAATACTTTGCTATCTTGTCTGCACCATCTGTGTGAACAGATCGAAGGAAATCCATGAGGGTCACAAATTCAAATCTTTAGAAGTGACTGTATTGCATGTCACAGTAAGATGAGGTGGGGAAGAGGGCTGCTGTAGGAAGGAGGGTGTCGCAGTTTGACAGAGAAGTGCAGCTAAAGAGGCAGGGAAAAAGCAGGGAGTGGAAGATAAGGTAGACTGGGTAACACTGAGGTACAGGGCCATCATTAGGAGATGGACTATATAATAAGTGAGAATTTCAAGTGAATAATGGCTAACTGAATAGGAAGACCTGTGTGAGCTGGAAATCAGAAAAAGGGGATGGGAAGAGAAGAAAGCGAGTAAATGCTGCTGGAGGTGGTGGGAGAGAAGTGGCCTTATGAATTTAGATTTTGTTTAACTTAGTCTAAGCAGAAGGAGGGTCTTAGTTGTAGCTCTGTGCTTTTCCACACCTGGGTGGAAAGTCTGAGCTTTCAAAGTTAATATGGTAACAAGTTTCTGTTACAAACTTTATTCTCATTTCCCTTTATGCTTGTCTAGAAAATTAGTTTTTACCTGAAAATTTCTAGGTCAGCTCTGACATAAGATGCTTTTGTGCTGTGTTTATATAAATAAACACGTCAGTTGTAAATATTCTTTTGATCTTTGAATCAATGTACTGTTAAAATTGTCTTGCAAGCTATTCATAGCTTTCAGTGCTATTGTAGTGCAGATAAAAATAATTCCCTGCCTTGTAAGATCTTTTATTTCTTTTCCTGCTGCTTAGCAACTTTAATGATGTAAGTATTTCATTGAGGTAGGATGTTTATATAATTATAAAAGATTTGTAGGAAGAGGGTAAAGTAAAATTACTTGCTGTTGTATTTGTGAGAAAACTAGTGCTGTTTGAGAGCATTAAATAGTGGAATGACTTGCATCTATAAATAGTGTTCTTTGATCTTCAATCTAAGTGTTCTGAGGCTGTTGGGTATTTGGAATAACAGCGAGAACAGTGTTAAAAGGTCAAGCTAAATCCTTATCTTGTTCCCTAACCTGTAATGAGCAATGAGGTAACCTGTTCAGGGAATGGTGTGCACAGAATGACAAATCCTCCATCAGTGTACACTGACTTCAGCTGTATGGGAGCTTCCAAAGCCATGTGTGGTTTAGAGATCCATTGCTGTCTGTCGGACTTCATTATCAGTCTCCTATGAGTTCAACTTTTTTTAAATGGATTTTTAAAAAACTTTTGCCTTCATGTAAAAACAGTAGAATAGAAACATAGAAAAGAAGTTGGCCTTTTACTTTTCTAACCTGTGAGCTAGGATCATTTAGCACTTTTTAGTCCTTGTCTGTGGGAAAAGAAAAGTAGTTTCCTCTGCAGATAGTACATTATGCTTCCTCTCTGTGTATCATTATTCTCTCTACTCCTTTCACTCATTTTCTGCACTATCTATAACCTCCTTAATAGGCATATATATATACTAGTATATACATATATATACTGTATGTGTATATATATACACTAGTCTATACTATATATACACTGTACTTCCTCTCTGTGTATCTCTGTATAGTATATACTAGTATATACTATATAGTATGTGTATCTATATACTAGTATACATACACATACCAGTGTATATATATACTATACTTCCTATACTATATATACACTATAGTATACTATATGTATATAATATAGTATACTATATATACTTCTCTGTGTATCATTACTCTCTCTACTCCTTTCACTCATTTTCTGCACTATCTATAACCTCCTTAATAGGCATATATATATATACACTATATAGTATGTATATATGTAATGCTGAGTGTTACTGTTTCTCTTGTGCACTTTTTTATAGTTATGCTGTATGCCATTTAAATTGGGTATCTAGAAGCTGTTTGCAGTGTTGAAGATAAATGTCTGCTTCTACTCATTTTCAGTCACACTAAGAAGTTTGAGTTAATTTAAAGGATGATTTAGTTAGACTGTTGTGTGCTTAACTGACCTTCCGTGAAGGTTCCTTCAGTTGTCTGCAGTCTTTGCAGTAAGTGCCAAAAACAATTGGTCCACCTGCCTGAATTATCTGGAAAGATCAGTTTAATGGATTGAAAAATGTTCAGGATGACACCAACTGTTCTAAAGTATCTCCTTTCTCACTGTGTTTATAGCAGTATAATTGAAATACGATGTTCCTTCTCTAATGGATCACCTGCAAACTCCTTACCTGCAGGGGGGGGAAAACCTATACATTCTCATGACTTTAATGTCATCTAACCCACTAGAACAAGCAGTTCCATTTATGACAAATATAATTATTTTGAGCTGCCTTTCAGGATCACTTAATTAAAAACTGTTGCATGGCTGTGCAGTCTCCGTCACTGGAAGTTTTCAAGACTTGGTTGAATAGAACCCTGAGCAATTTGACCTGACTTAATAGCTGAACCTACTTGCAGCAGGAGGTTAGAGTAGAGATCTCCTGTGGTCTTTTCCAACCTGAGTTATCCCGTCATCCTCTATTTCTCTGCAACTCAGTTTAAAAATAAATTAAGTTTTTGTTACTAAAGGGTAAAAAAAAGTACTTTAATTGTTTGTATAATTCTAAAATATTTTTTGTGACTAGAAAGAACAGAAAGAAGTGGATATTGTGCCACAGCTGTAAGTTTGTGTAGTAGATTTTTAGTTTGTATGTTTTGTCTGATTTAAAAAATTATTACGTAAAGAGACTATTTGATTAGAAATGGTGGAATGTAGGAGTCATCTTTTTGTTGTTGTTTTTGGCTTTTTCCCCTCCCCATCAAGCAAATACTGCTCCTTATCTTACGTGGTTTTTGGCAAAGAAATGTCTGGTGCTAACCAAAATCTTAATTTACAGGAGGGCCCACTTACGAGAATAGCTGGTACTTGCAAAGTATCAGCTCTGATTAGAAGGCTGATTAGATAACTTCTCAAATGTCTTTCCAACCTTTTATTTTGGCCTTTTAAATAAATACCTGTGACATTTTTTCAGTAGTTACTTTCAAGATTCAGAACTTTTTTGTAGACTTTTCAGAAGTATTGGTCATCTATGTAATACAGCTCTTGAAAGTAGCTAAGTAAGTGCTATAGGGAAGTAAGTATTCTCATGTTCCTGGAAATCTGTGTTTAATGGCATGCATTAGTTAGGGGCTGATTTGTAAGTTCAGTGGACTTAAGATGTGTGCATCTTGTGAATCTATATTGGCAGAATAGAATGAAATTGAATTGCTGGATGTCTTGTGGTTCATAGAATAAATGTGGTTCGCATTTTGTGGTCTGTATAAGAACAGTGGGTGTTAAGCTTTAAAAATGCACATTTTCAAAGGATTTAAATAACAAAATAGCTTTTCCAAACACTTGCTTGAAGACTTTTGTCTTTTGGTTTACTATATTCAAGCTAAAAAAATGTGTTGTCTGGTTTGTACTTTTTGCCACATTTGTGTTTCCAGTATACTCCATTTACTTATTATCAATTTTCAGCTTATTATTACTTTATCAAAGCCATATTTTTTAATGGATGAGATATCATATTAATATCTCTCAGGAAACTCATAAGCCTGTGTGATGTAGGTAATGCCAAATGCTTATGTCTTAAAGGTAGTAAGGTTAGTTTGTCTGTGTATAAACTACACTTTGTATGCCACAGTTCATGTTTTGCTGTTTTATTTTGTATCACTTCCCCAAGGTTTCCCTGTTTCTTCAAAGACCAGAAAACTTAAGTGTCAAAACTAACAGGGAATAAGTCTATATATTCTTTCAGGAGTGGTGGTTGACTAGTGATGCTACTTCAAACCTGTATGAAGGCAGGAAAACTGCTTAGAGAATGCAGTAAGCCTCGTTTTCTGTTTGCTTTGTGGAGATGGAGGTATCTTACTGTCTTTCATTCTTCACAGGGTTACACATCATTCTGGAATGACTGTATCTCCTCAGGATTGCGTGGTTGTATGTTAATTGAATTGGCACTGCGAGGGCGTCTTCAGCTGGAGGCTTGTGGAATGAGGCGCAAAAGTCTACTAACAAGAAAGGTAAGTGGAGGAAAATGATCACAATTACTTTTGTATCATGCTTCAGGCAGTATAGGACCTGTAAATTACATTGGTTATAAGAAAAAGACTTCTTATTTTCTTTACGTGGGCATAGGTATCCTGAAGTGACGTAAGTTAGAAGCACAGAGTTAAGTGTTTCAGTGGTGAGCTGACGTGCCGTCAGTACTTGTTCTCTGCTTCTGTTTGTTCTCTTGACGTGTTCCTGCTGTTGTTGGGAATCTTGTTACAAATACTTGGCAGTGGCTTCGGCCAGGGTGGGGTGGCAGCCATTACTACTGAAAGCCAGTACCACTGGTTGTAACCTGCTGAAGGAACTGGCTTGTACAACGTTGGTGAGATGTGGGCTGAAGCTGAAAAGAATGGCTGACAGCCTGCCAGGTGTATCCTGCAAGCCACCAATTTACATGATGTTGCAGTTTGTGCATGGGAACAGAAGGAAACCATCCTTGTACCTTGGGGCCCCCAGAAGACTAAATTCTATATAGTTTTGAGCATGAGTGGTGTGTTAAATTTATTGTACCACTCACTGACCTTTAAGATAGCCAAATTTTAAAAGGTCCTTTATTAAATTAAGCTGAAGATTTGAGGCCTTAATTTATTACTTTGGCTGCTGGATTTTTGCTTTGTACAAAATGTGCAAAGTCACAGTGTCAGAAGAATTTTTACTTCATCATTAGAGGATACTTACTTTACAAGATCACTGAAAACATGGTCAAATGTTGTCTATCCACCACATATAAATTCTCTTCTATGGCTCTTGTCCCTGTCAATACTGTCTTTTGCAAGTTTTTTTAAAGTAAAGCTTACAAATTCCCCGACCTTATCCCAGCTTCATCGTCTTGAAGAATCAAGCCTCTGTTCCGCCAAACAGCTCCTACTTCTTTTAGCTCCATTTAAAGTGTACTTAGCATTGATTAGTTTGCATATTTTTTTTTTTCCTCCACAGCTTTTGGCTCCTTAGGCATTTAGGAATGTTTCTAGTAGGTAGTTTCTTTCTTTGTAAACACTGTCAGCTCTATCTACCTGAAATTTTAATTGAGGTGTTTTTTGTTTGTTTGTTTTGAAAATGGCAAATTAACCTGTGCCTATCTAAAGTAAAGAATACAAGCAAGTTTTTGTCTTTTTTTGCAATGTTTTATTGTGTGAGATTTTGTTGGTTTGGAGGTGGGTGGTGTGGTTTGGTGGGGGTATTTTTTGGGTTTGGTTTTTTTTTTTTGGTTTTTTTGTTTGGTTTTTTTTCCTGTCAGTTTTGTTGAGTGTTTGTTTGTTGGTATGGTTTTTTGTTGTTGGGTTTTTTGGTGGGGTTTTTTTTTTGGTGGGTTTTTTTTGGGGGGGGGGTTGTTTTTTGTTTTTTTTTTTTCTTTTTTTTTTTGTTTGGTTTTTTTTTTAATTTTTGTTAAATCTTATCATGTTGTTTTGTGGGTGGGTGAGTGTGTTTGTTTCCTCCTCCCCTTCCCTTAGTTAAGGTTTTGTTATTTCTTCTGCTGTAAGGCAGTTAGACAATTGAGATTTCTTTTTGCAGGCAGGAGGATTCTGTGAAAAATACTTTGATTTAAAATTTAAATGAAGATTGATTTCTGCTTAAGTAATTTCTTGCAAATAGAATCCCTAACTGGTGATATATTGGAGATTTCTTCCCCTCCTGCCCAAGTTCTCAGTTTAGATATTATTCTCATGAATGACTTTTGTTGTTTTGCACCTTGTTTTAAGTTTTACTTTAACATAAAATTTCAGTCTTGTTTTTGTGTTGGCTAGATCTAAATGTCTCAACTCTATCAAGTGTCTTCCTTGCCTCCCTTTTGCAGGCTTTGCTCCCTTTGCCCTCACCTTAGGCTGTGAGTTAAATACTGTGCATAGTGAGTGGAATGAGCTGTCTAGTTGCATCCAAGGTTGTGATTCATGGGAATACCATTTTCTATATCTTGTGTCTTCCAGATTAGCCCTTCTTCTTCCTCATACCAGGTCCATCTTTCAATTTTGTGGGACAGTAAAACCTTCTAAATACTCAAAACTTTGAAATACTTCAGTGTTGAGGTTTATGTATAAATAAAGTAATTTCGAGGACTAGTGGTTATTGAAGATAGAAAATAGTACTTTGTGCTGCCCTGCAACCTCAGAGAGCAAACCAAGCCATTAGAGTTGTTAAAAGAAATCCCACCAAATCCTTGGCAGATTAACTTCAGTATTTTACAGCTAACGATTATGAGTTAGTTATGAGTGAATTTTTATATTAAAACTAAATTATGAAGTTTACTTAATCAACACAAGAAGTGCTTAATCTTTAACATTGCTTAATTATAAAGCTGCATTGTGGAAAATGCAAATTAAATATTCTGTATAATTGAAATTTCCTCAGCAGCTGGATACAAGGCAAATTTAGTACCAAATTCATCACTGAGAAACTGGAATAAATAAAGACTTTTTGCAGTAAGGCTAGGACCACCATCTCTGAAGAGCCAGGATCTTAGGTTCTTTCTCTACCTTACCTTTTCTGTTAGAGATAGAAAAACATTCCCCCTTGTGGATGTTCAAACTTCTGTGGTGATTCAATTCACAAGATCCCTAACCCACTCGATTTACCACTGCTCTTGTGCTCTTATGACTCTGAAGAGTTAGCCAAGGATAATTCAGCAATAAATCCCTCAAGAAAGAGCAGATCCATGAAGATAGGACAGATGTGACTGGTTTTCCGTGGTTGCTTGAGTCCATGTGTTGGGAAGGGGAGGGGAAGAGAAATACATGGAAGTGTGTACCAGAATACTTCTGTTGGAGGAAGAAGAATTTGTACTGTGAATAGTCAGTGTAACAGAGAAGTGAGAAGAATCATTGAATCCCAGACTGGTTTGGGTTGGGAGGGATCTTAAAGTTCATCCAGTTCCAACCCCCTACCACGGACAGGGATGCCTTCCACTAGGCCAGGTTGCTCCAAGCCCCTGTGTCCAACCTGGCCTTGAACACTGCCAGGGATGGGGCAGCCACAGCTTCTCTGGGCACCCTGTACCAGCACCTCAGCACCCTCACAGGGAAGAATTTATTCCTGATGTCTAATCTCAATCTCCTCTCTGTCAGGATAAAGACATTATCCCTTGTCATGTCCCTACAGGCCCCTGTAAAAAGCCCCTCTCCAGATTTCTTGTAGCCGCCTTTAGGCACTGGAAGCTGCACTAACGTTTCCTTGGAGCCTTCTCTTCTCCAGGCTGAACAACCCCAGTTCTCTCAGACTGTCCTCAGAGGAGAGGTGCTCCAACCCTCAGAGCATCTTCATGGCCTCCTCTGGACTTGCTCGAGCAAGGAAGAAAGAGTGCTATATGCCTGGCTGCAGAGAATTGTAAACTTGGAAACAAAATTGATGTGCATTGTGGCTTCTTAAGAGCTTATGGAGTCCTGACTGAGTTGAATGGGAGAGTCTTTACACCTTACAGCTCTTTCCTTTAAATGGCTGTATGTTTTGGCTCATATTGTTGCAGTGCATGATGGTCAGGCTAGCTTTTTACGTTTCTTTGCAGTGGTAGCAAAAAGTATCTTAACCCCAAATAAGGAAGGCTGTTTTCTAAACTTTTTAAAAAAAAACCCCTTATGTATATTCTAAACTTAAAAGCATTTTTTCTTTCTTCAGTGAGGTTTGTTTTGGGTGGCTGGGTGGGTGGTTTTGTTTTGTGGGGGTTTGTTTTGGTTTGTTTCTTGTTTTTAATAATAAAGCAGGTAAAAAAGATGATTTCACATCTTGCCTGTTAATGTGAAATGGTGAGTAGTAGGTTACTAGCTGCAACAGGCTGGAGACATCCAGTGTAACAAAGACTACTTTGAAACTAATCGTGTAAGACACTTCAAAGAAACTAAAATACTGCTGCAAAGTCAGTTTTAAAAAGAAGAAATGATAAATTGGGTGAGTTTAGGCTAATTTTTAGACTAATTTTTGAAGGAGTATCTGAAAGGTGGCTATTAATAGCCACAATCTAGCAGCTCAGAAGCCCAAGTTGAAGTATACTCCTGTATAATTAAAAACCAGACACTTAAAAAAAAAAAAAATCAGAATCTTGATATAAAACTGGAAGACATGTGATACCATTATATGTACTTAATAGAGGTTTTGAGTCATGCTGTGGTGCAAGCTTGTAAGTCAGAAAGACAAACGTGTTTTTTAGAGAAGGAGTTGCCTGGATTAAAATGTAGTTGTGTTCTTAAAATGCAGCATCCAAGGTTTATGGTTTAAGTGATCTCCAGCTCCTAAATGGAGATCTGGACAGTACCTCAAGAGACCATTTAATCTTGATGCAGTAAAGAGATAATAAGTTTTCTCTGCTTCCTCCCTGGCAGATGTTTAGTCTTAAAATTCTCCATTGAATGCAATTCAACAGCTCCCTGGCTGTTTAATTTGCCTGTTGAAGCTTTTGACAGTACATCCTGCTCTCTTGTATTTCAGAAAAAGCTGGTATCTCTTATTTTTTTCCCAAAGTAGGCATCATGAAATATTCTCTGGTACCTTTTTTTTTTTTTGTAAAAATTTCTTCCATGCTTTCATTTTAGATCTAAACAAACTTTGCCCTTTGTTGCCATCATTGTGGATTGGTTCATTCTTGCTGATTTTTAATAAAAATCTTAGTTTCTCTGCTTTATATGTAATACCATCTAAATTGGAAGTAATTTTCCAGGTATGACCTCTTAGGTATTCACAAAGATCTCTCCAGCAATTTTCACTTCATCTCTGTAACTTTTCACACCTCTCAGTTTGGGATCATCTTACCAGTATTAAAGCTGTCTTAATACTGCAGCTCATTTCAGTGTCATCGCAGACCCTATGAAAATGTACTGTACTATTTGTAGTAAGGATGACTAGAACTACAGAACAGAACTAATGGGATGATTTTTAAAGGACACTGAAGGCGTTTCCAGGACACCTGACTACTGTGAAGTGTTTAAAAAAAAAAAAAAAAAGCTTTCTCTTGCTTCTTCTCTTATATATTGTGTTATTTTTTCTGTTACTTGCCTGTTACCTTTTTACCTTATGCTTATAAAGTGCTAACTTGTAATTGTTGAACTGCAGTATTTTGAATAAATTGACTTGAAGAAGTAACATAGACTCCTATCAGAGAGTAATTTAACACTACAGTAACTTTATTTTGGGGAGGAAGTGAAGGACCTGGTTGGTTTAGTGGAGTATCTTGCTTAAGAATAAGGCATCAGGCATACTATTAGTGCTATAAGGTTAAGGTTAATTTAATAGATAGCCTATAAATAAAGCTGTGTTAAGACATAGCTTTCTAATGAAATTCCTAGGTAGGTTTGGGGTTTTTTTTTTGTTTTGTTTTTTTTTTTGTTTGTTTGTTTGTTTTTTTTTATTTCCCAACAAATGGGGGTTTTATTTTTTTTTTAAGTTGCTTTTTCTTAGATTTTTAAGATTTCTTTAGTTTTGATGGCAGGGAGATTTTTTCCAGATTTTATTGGTGAATGTTTGTAGTATATGAATTAAGTCAAAATACTGTTCTATCTATCCTAGGTGATTTGCAAGTCAGATGCTCCTACAGGGGATGTTCTGCTTGATGAAGCTCTGAAACACATAAAAGAGACGCAGCCTCCTGAAACAGTACAAAATTGGATTGAACTGCTTAGTGGTAAGCCTTGGACATAATGTGTTTGCTTTTTTCCCCCCAATAAAGGTAATTATCTAGCATCACTAGAGATTATACTATAAGGTTTTGGGGGAGAAAGTATGCAAAAGAGTTAATTAGTCTGTTCTCAAGGATAGTCTCTTCTTGATTGTAGCCTGTAATCAAATATAAGTAACTGTTGCTTTTGACTTGATACAGAAAGGATCTATATGGAAGTGTCAGAGGACATATCAACTGTGTGGAAGAGGTGCCTTCTGCTGTTTCTGAAGTAAATCGGGACTGCACCCTGGAGATATAACTGCCTTTCTCTGTAATTGGAAATCAGGGTTAGTGGAAGTTTGGAGTATAGGTGTATGGATTCGGTATTCAGATCTTTTTGATGAAGAGATAAGGAGCTTGCTGCTCAGATGTGAAAATTGATGATTATTTGGCCAGTAATTTATGAAGAAAAAAGAGTCAGGAGCTCTATTTTCTTATTAGGCAGACAAGTTTAATAAATACTTTCAAGTGTTAGGTGTTTCTTTGTTGTTCAAAACAAGATGAGTACTTAGTACACAGCTCTTCCTGCACAGCTAGTAAGTTTTGGAAAAAAAACCAACAAAACAGATGAGATATCAATTAGATTTAATTTTCACAATTACAGTTAACATTTTTTTCATATACACTGCCAACAGCTGAATCCCCAGGATGCATAAATTAAACTGAAATTAACAATGACCATCTTCTAACATGCAGTGCTTTTACTTGGTTGTGGGGGGTTTTCTTGTTTCTGTAGCCTGAATTCATCACCAGGGTTTGTCTGTTTTTACAAAATACAGCCGCTTCCTTGGAGTACATCAGAACTGCACTTCGGTTGTGCCAACACTGCAGGAGAAAAACATGCTGTTTTGTCAACATCATGACTCTGGGAGGTTGGGGTGGGGTGTGGGTAATGACACTTTAAGTTGTCTATCTGAATCTGTTACTTGCAACAGCTGATGAGAGTTTCAAAAATGAACAAATTTCTCCACCTTTCTCTGCTTGCTGTTTTCATCCTGTACCACCTTAAACAGCCTTCTTTGCATTGTCCACTTCATGCTCCTGTCCTTCCTTGCCATCCCTCACCTCTTGCTTATTGTCTCCCCTCTCTGCCTGACAGTCACGAAAACAAAGCAGCCCTTGTCAGTAGGGGGCATGGCTGCTGCACAGCGTGGCAGTTCAGTTCCTGCTCAGCTCTCCCTCACTTTAACAGCCTGCAAAACCAATTCGTTTTTCTTGTCCCAAATACATAATTTGTGCTGACATTTCACCTTCTCTCCCAGTGCAGAGCACGTCAAGTTAGTACTGATTTAAAAAAGGTCAACTAATGAATGAACAATGTTGTATGTTTTCTTTGAGCTAAGCTGTTTCCCTGACCCTGCTGAGCTTTGGCTTTGGGAAAATAGTTATTGTCAGTGTGGTGACCAAGACTTGGATCAATCATTTTTACTTACATAATGGTTATTAATTACTAGTTCTTGGATGGCATTAGAGTTCTTTGTATTTCTCATGGTTTAGAGGACTGCTCTTTGAAGAAAAATATTTTTATGTTTTGCTAGGGTTTATTTTATTATGAACTCTTTGCTTTAGGGCCTGATCCTGGAAAATAGCTCTCCTGTTGTAATTAGGAGCAATGTGAAGAATGCAGCTTGAAGTTACAGTACATACAAGTTCAAAGCCATCATGGAAATGTTAATGTGGACGTGTAAGGTCACGTTTGCTAGGCTGATGTTGTTTTTAAGATAGCCTCTAAGGGAAGGAAGTGTAGAGCATACAGAAGCCTGGATCAAAATGTCGGGTCTTCTGTAGACGTAACAAGCATCTGCCTGGACAGGCAAGTGTCGGTGTAATTGAGGAGATTGGTCACAAGATGTCAGCACAGTACTGGTTTTTGTTGCCATACAGCCACATCCACCTAAGAAATGTAGAAAAGTCTAGGAAATAGCCTTTGCCCTGTGAAATGCTGTAAGGAAACTACTGTTTAGTATGTGTGTGATAGTTTAATTCATGGTCAAGCTGGGGAATCACAGTCAGTGAGTGTGGGACCTACAGGGACTTGTATAGTTCAGGAGTGAGTGGGTTTTCTGCCTCTCACTATGCACTTGGTATCACCTCATTTGTTTACTTAACTAGCTGTTACTTGGATACAGCATATGTCACCCTCCATCACAGCAGGAGAAACCTTAAAGTAATCTGTGGGTATTATTATTGTTATTATTATACCAATTAATTTTTTAAAAGCTTTCTGATACAGAAACAAGTTGATACAGAAATTCTTGCCTCATTTATAGAAAACTCCCATTTGTGTAAGAAATACGTACTGCTGTTTCTTTTCTCACCACTTAATAAGTATAGACTCTTTTATATCAGGAGGAGTTTTTAGTATGTATGATAAATACTTTATTAGACTGGACTTAAATTTTTTAGCTTGTTAAGTAAACTCTTAAGCAAAGGTGAATTTCTCTTTGCTTAACAGTTCTAGCTTTATCGGTAGCGTTGGTGCTGATTTTGTGCTTTTTAAATTCCCTTCTCTATCCACACAGAATCATGCACTCTGAAGAACCCAGTTCTCCTGCCTTAACAAAAAGCATTAGAAATAATTTTTGTAGAAATATTAAGTTGCCCTCCTAACATGTGCTTGTATGTACAAATCCCTCACACACGCACAGTGCATGGTTACCGTTTCACCTGGTGGGGGCAGGAACTGAGAGACTGAAAACTGAAGAAATAGAGAAATGCACTGGGTAGGTATGTATTAGCTTGCCTCTATGGCAGTAAGAAAGGCAATGATACTTCCTTCAGTCTCTGAAATGGTAAAAGGGTGGAAGCAGACAAATGTAAAAGATTGGAGAAACTGTTTATTTTTATTATTAAACTCTTTCTTCATGTCTGGTTTGGGTTTCGTTTGGGGTTTCTTTTCTTTGGTACAAGACTTTGGTACAAGTTATGTCATATCCTTAATCAGGAAATGGCTTAACTAGCATTTCATCCAAACTTTAAATGTACACTGACGTTCCTTCAAGGAGGCTCTTACATTTTCTGTCTCTTTGTCTATATCTGGGTAGGTCAGATATTGGAGAAATGCTGACATTATCACAGTATTTTAGTGTAATAGTCAGCTATATAAATTTGACAGCTCAATGTGCACCACAGTGAGGGAGGGAGGTGGAGAATTCGCTGTAACAGTATAGCTTAGACTTTGCCTGACCACTGGGTATTTTGCTTGTCTTTTCAGGTGAAACATGGAACCCACTGAAGTTGCACTACCAACTACGAAATGTCCGTGAACGGTTAGCTAAAAATCTAGTGGAAAAAGGTGTACTGACAACAGAGAAACAGAACTTCCTTCTTTTTGACATGACTACGCACCCTCTCACCAACAACAATATCAAACAGCGCCTCATCAAGAAGGTTCAAGAAGCAGTTCTTGACAAATGGGTGAATGACCCTCACCGCATGGACAAGCGCTTGCTGGCACTTGTTTACTTAGCCCATGCTTCAGATGTTCTGGAGAACGCTTTTGCCCCCCTTTTGGATGAGCAGTATGATTTAGCCACAAAGAGAGTGCGGCAGCTTCTGGATTTAGACCCTGAGGTTGAATGTATGAAAGCCAACACGAATGAGGTTCTGTGGGCTGTTGTAGCAGCTTTCACTAAGTAACTTCATTCAGACTGAAGTGTTCTCTCTCCTTTCATGTAAACCAGTTGTTTAGTCTTCTATTGACTATTCATGTTTTCTGTAATTTGTACCTTCTCACATGATGAATCAGCTTTTGTTTAATGGGAATTTTAAGTGGTGTATTCCCTCTTTCTCTGTGTATCTGTATGCAGGATTCTGCTGGTACAAGAGACTCTCCTGTTTAAAAACAACAGAAAAAGGTTTTACTGCCATATTGGCATTCCATTTCCTATTCAGTTTGAGTTATCTGAAATACTTTGTTTAATCTATTTTTCATCTTACTGTTACTGAAGTGGTTTAAATCACCAAAGCTCCATGTTGAAGTGTCTTTCAGGACATTTTATACACAGGTGTTGTTTCAATTATATCTAACAAAATTACTTTAAAAGCAGAAATGCCATTAAGCAGCTTTGTCAATAGTTCCTGTAAAACACCCCATTAATTTTACTTTTTATGTAAGTCTCTTGTGTGCTTTTATTTTAATTAGAACGATAGCTGAGTCATAAGGCTAGTATGGAAAGGTCCAGCTGTTTCATAAACCAGTTTTGGGATGGTATACATTCCATTATATTGTATATATAGTTCAAATTGTATATTAACAACTGCCCCATCTTAGTATTTTGCAAGATCTGCTTAGTCGTACACCTGCTGCCCCTTATTTGCTGTCAGCCACTGCCATTCGATGGAAAGAGAGGCCTCTTGTAATGAGCATGTATGTGAAAGCTGTTTGTTTCCAATGTCTGCAGAGTTTGCCATCCAGGTATTCTCAGTCTATGCATTGCCTTCGATAATTGGTGTACGAAAAGAGATTGCTTTCTGTTGTTTTTGTACTTTGTTTTGTTTTGGTTTTTTTTTTCCACTCCCTCCTGTATGGAAGAGGTGACAAGTACAATTCTTGAGTGCAGTTTTTTATTTCATACACACATTAATGTTTGTCTCTTACACCTTATCTATTTTACACTTTAAAAGCAAAAATTCAGTCCTAGCAGGTGTTACATGTAAACAGTTAGCAAATAATGACTGCAGTTCAGACAAATTAAGATTTCTGTAATGGATGCTCTGCTATACTTTGATTTCCTTTTTTTTTTAATATACAATTATGCTGATTAGCACACTATTGTAAAAAAAATTATAAAACTGGCTTTTTAAAATTTATTGCCTCTTTGCTACTCCTTGTTATCTTCCATTGGCTTCACAATGTAAATATTGCTCATTGAAAAAATTAAGCAACAATTTACATTTCTTTTTTTTCCGTCATAACAATGCAGATTTATAGTGGGGCTTACAGGTGTTTAGAAACTTTTTTGCTTCATATTCAGAGCAAGAATACTAGATGGTGTATAACTGTAGAGTAGAAATTTAAGGGTTCCCTTAATCTGTATACTAGCTTTTTACCTACAGTAAATAAACTATGATCTTGAAAGTGCCTGAAACAGAGCAAGCATGTCACTTTTATTTTTTTGTTGCTAATTAGAAAGGTTTTATTGCTTAACTGAAAGCTTTAGTTAATATCCTTCTTATTAGAAAGGGAGAGTTTATATTAAGTAGATCAAACTGACCTAATCGGCGGTGTCACTCGGATCTGCAGGATTCATGGCTGAGACAGACCGAGTTAGCTTGTGAGTGTGCAGCTGTGCCTGCCGTAGGTAGACCTCATCTGTCTTAAGCACAACTCTACAGCCTCATCTGTGACTGGAATTCCAATTTTGCACTTAATTTTCAATCATTTAGATGCTTAAGTAGTTGACTTTAAAATACAACTTAAATTCATCATACCATTCAATTCATATATAACCTTTTTTAATAAAGGTTTTTAAAATATGGTCCTTAACATTTAATGGCACACTGTTCTTTCAGTTCTTAAATGCTGTTTCCTTAGAAAGATGAAGTTAAAAATATATTGTAAGATACTTCAAACTCTGGTTTACAAATAAAAAGACAAGTGTTCTCTCAGTTGTAAGATGCTGTGTTTAACTTTGAGGAGCTTGGGCATGAACTTTGGTTGTTTTCTTTTAAACATTTTAAAATGTGATTGCTTTAAGTGGAGGAAAAGTGAAAGTTGCCATGTTGCTCTTGCATTTGACAGCATAGAGAATACTTTCTGTACTTAATAGTATGTGCTAACTCACTGCTTTCATTGTCTCTCCTGTGATCTGTTTTCTCATTTTCTGTTGCTCTTTGAAAGGAGAGAAAAATAATTAGGTGGAAAGGTCAGAAAAATAGTGGAGTTTTCAGGAGCAAGTTAAGTGCACAGAACTTCTAAAATGACTTTGAAAATCTAAGCTAATTGAAACATGCTTCAGAGTGAAAGTATCTTTTTCATAGTCCCTTTTCTGTCTTCTCATCTTCATTCTGTGACTCTTTTCCATATTCTAGCTGTTTCATGTTAGGTTGTAGAGGATGTTGGTGTTTTGTCACTCTTACAACCAACATGGTTTAAAATAAGTTACCTTTTAATGCCCTCCAGAAAGAAGATTTGGGGATTTTTATTTTTTTCATGTAGAAGATAACTGCCTACAGTATTTATCAGCTTTATTTTACTTTAAGACAGAACCTCTGTCTGTGATGGGGATAGTTTGTACTGGGTGTTATCAAATAACTGATGTAAGTAATAAAGATTTTTGTGAAGAGTAACAGTGTGTTTTGCTAGACCACCTGGTGTAAGCCTGCTTGTGCAGGGGAGGTAGATGAGCTTTTCCAGTCTTAAGTCCTATGATGTACTTCAAAAAACCCAATGCCTCACAAGCATTACCAGACCGTATGTCTAACAAGGAAGGTAAGTTTGGTAGGTTAACAGGAAATGGTTTAGCTACCATCCTTGCCTTCATGGGTATTTCGGGTTCTAATTACATGGTTAACCATGCAAGACTGCTTTGTTCTGCTGAGATTCAGGTTCCCTTCTTCCTATTAGCTGCTACTGCAGCTCACTGAGAGCTGGATTTAAGACAGTTTTGTCTGCTCCGAGTCCTCGGCTCTCAATGGCAGCTTGAAATGAAGACTGCTATCCAAAGCCTGAACTTGAACGTGTGCCTCAAGGAAGAACATACGTTATTCAGGGACACATTCTTTTAAAACAAACTTTCAAGTTAATGTCGAGAACACAATTTTGAAAGTTAAATTCCCAAGCAGTGTGTATATGTGTGTGTATATATATATATATATATATATATGTATATGCATGCAGTTTTACAGTCCTTGAGATTTACATCCTGCTCTCCTGTGTTTTTAGGATGATGTTACAGTGGTCCTATATGGGACACTGGTGAAACCTGTGTGCCATACATGATGCTTGTGAGGCAAAAATGGCATAAATTGGCTATCAAAGGCTGGTGACTGAGTGCTCATGTGTTCATGTCCATTTCTCCTACAAAGTGAAGATATGTATAAACTAACGTGTTCTCTGTGAACTGGACTGAATCTGTACTGAAACAAAATAAAGCACCCTTTGAAGCTGTGAAGGTGGTTACTGCGTGTCGCATGCATGCAATACCTAAAGGATGGGATTTTTTTTCTTTTTTAATTTGCTAAGTAATTTCCACTTTTTCATGAGGCTCTGGCATTCACCAGTTTGGGAAATGGAACTTAAAGATTTCTACTAAAGCCTCGGTTCTGCCTCAGCTGGGCTTCAGGCATTTGAGGTAGTCAAAGCCTGTTGTGTCCTACTTTCCCCTATTGTCCATGTATCTATTTACATGGAAGAGGGTTTCTAGCTTCAGAGAAATACAAATTTATTGGAAAAGTAATTCATTATATGGCAATTCTTAATGCATAAACCAGTTTAATTAGGAATGAGACACTATCAAATGGTTTGTGTCAAATACAAAGTGTGATTTCAGGTGTGTGTAGGAGGCGGCCTTGGGTAAGAGTATCTTTGGATGGGGAATAAGCATGGTCAGTGCTGCTGCCCATGCTAATATCTGAATAAGGTCTGGAGTTTCCTCCCATTGGCTCTTGTCTTTTCCTGCCTACAAAGCAGCAGCACGAAGCCCGTGGAAAGCTTGCAGTAAGAAAGGCCTTCTGACTCAGGAGGCGAAAGAGAACAGTGAGAAGAAAAGCTAGTTTGTAAGCTGGCAGAGAAGAACGGAATGAAATGCTGATGATCGGCCTTTGGCT